CCTAGGGCCCCTGCACCCATGTGGGAGACCCGGAAGAAGCTCCTGGCTTCGGATCAGTGCAGCTCTGGCCGTTGTGGCCAATTGGGGAGTTGTGGGGAGCAACTGAGAGCAACTTGGACTAGACTAAGTTACTGGAATTAAGACTTATTCTATGCATCTGCTCTCCCACAATATGGCGCTGAGAAGGGAGAAACAGCTTCTACACAGCTGCCTCCAGTTCAACCAATAAGCAGCAGGACCTGCTCCTGATTGGAGGAGAGCAGCGTACTCGGCGTGTGGGTAGCAGAGTTGGGATTGGTGGAAGAGGACTATAAAGGAGGAGAGAGACAACATGCACCAGGAACATCTATCTGAAGGAACACCTGTGCAGCCCCCGAGAGAGCCGGCCGGCGGTGTGCCGCTCCCCCGCGGAAGTGGGGAAAGTGGCCAGGGGGAACCGCCCTTCCACGGAGGTGGAAGGGACGGTAGCCAACCCGGGAAGAACCAGCAGCAAACCCGGGAAGGGCCGAGCAGACAAAAGAACAGCGCAGGGTCCTGTGTCGTTCCTCCACGAAGAGGGGGAGCGACAGGGAGTGAACCAGCGGATGGAAGACCTCTCTCTCTCTCTCTGCCTCTCCTCTCTGTGTATTAACTCTGACTTTCAAATAAATAAATAAATCTTTTAAAAAAAAAGTCTACAAAATACCTGAGGAGACAACATTGTGCTTAAGTTTTTGCCTAATTCCTATTGGAGAAAGTCAGGAAGTTTGGCCTTTGGGTTAATTTGGAGGCTACAGATCAGAAATCTAATGCGGCTGGCGCTGTGGCTCAATAGGCTAATCCTCCGGCGCCGGCACACCGGGTTCTAGTCCTGGTCGGGGCGCCGGATTCTGTCCCGGTTGCCCCTCTTCCAGGCCAGCTCTCTGCTGTGGCCTGGGAGTGCAGTGGAGGATGGCCCAGGTCCTTGGCCCTGCACCTGCATGGGAGACCAGGAGAAGCACCTGACTCCTGCCTTCGGATCAGTGCAATGCGCTGGCCGTGGTGGCCATTGGAGGGTGAACCAACGGCAAAAGGAAGACCTTTCTGTCTCTCTCTGTCCACTCTGTCAAAAAAAAAAAAAAAAAAACTAACGCATTCCTTGGGTTTGGGCACATCTCTTACCATTTTCCTTTTTAGGGGTCATAAATACATTTACCTCCTACCTGCCTCTAACCAGGTATTGAATCAAATTCATCCAACTCTACTTTTCCCTCTGTGAGTAGCATGCCTGAACTGATTACAGTAGACTCAGGGAAGTGTAGTTTTATTATTTAGCATGAGAGGCAGAGGCAATGAACTTAAGCGTTCCTATCTGTTGGCTCACTCCCCAGTTGATCATACTGGCTAGGACTGGGCCAGGGTTGAATCTGGGAGCCAGAAATGCAATCCAGGTCTCCCACATGGATGCTAAGGACCCAGTTACTTGAGCCATCACTCCTGTCTCCCTCAGTTTGCATTGGCAGGAAGTGGATGGAGATAGAAACTGAAGTTGGGAATTAAATTCATACAATTGATGTATGACATGGACTAGGTGCTTTCAGGAAAGCAGTTTTACATTTGTAAGCACAAAATCCTCAGGCACTCAAATGACTTGTTTCTTACTAACCAGTAATTTGAAGGTGCCAAGTATCTGTACCAGTTCTTATCACCCTCCTCTGCCCCAATCCCCCAACATGAAGAACACAGGCCTGACTTCAGAGGACCTGAGATTATTTGATGATCTTCACAGGCAGGCACTAAAAGTAGTGAGCTTTTGTCTTAGCAAGGTGTCCATGCTTCTTTGCTGACAAGGCAGCACGGTGACCGTTCTGGCCAACTCAGCTGCTCTGCCACCAACATGGCTTCTAGGGACATGCACCTCCGTTCTGGTTGACTCTCCAAGATGTATTACCCACAGCTTCTCCCAAATTAGAGATTTTTCAATCAGTCTCAAGGTGATGTCCATTCTTCCTCTAAACCACAGTTCCAGGTTTCCTGGGCCAATATTTTACACAAGGAGCAAGTAATTTTCCTACTCAAGTAGTCTGCTATTGATCATAGTTATAGGTTTTTGTTAATACTGTTTTTATAGCTATCTCTTTGATCTTTGGCTCTGTGGGCAAGAAGGTATGGGTTATGGCTTCATGAGTATATTGAGAACTCCCGGTTAATGATATGTTATTTAATTCGGGATTGCAATGGGCTAGAAAGACAAGACTCTTGGCATTTTAGAAGATAATTGTGAGCAGCAAAGGCAGGCCTGGGCTGTTATCCCTCTCAACTGTGACATACTTTAATGATAAGCCTTCTCCCTGCCGCAGAGAATGGAAAGATAAAAGCCACTAATATGCTAATTAACTTTTAATTGTCACATATTAGAATGACCTTACTATATCATAGTTCACTCCATATGATTAGAAAAAAAAGCACCTGCTTAATTATTCTAAAATAAAAGTGATTATTTTTAGGGGTTACACTCCAATATTTAGTTTGTATGTAGCACAGCATTCCAGTAAGTCAGTGTGTTTAAAAGGTAGCACATTTTCACCCGGCCACCAATGCTCTCAGAACTACATCTATTATGTGAGCATGGAGGGGATTTTTCAAGGCCTTGATTGTTGATGGAAACACCCGTTTGAAATCACTTTGGCTTGAAATCACATGTGTTTAGGCTTGGCCCTTTGCGACAGACTTGAGATTATTTGTTCTTTTGCTGGTACAGACCCATGACTGTTTTTTTCAAAAATACCTTCTGGATCTGACCACGGGCATGCTTTAAGAAGGCGGGGTGGCTTTCCATCAGCTAGGTTTTTATTAGGTTCCTTTATGTTCTCTAAACAGTCCTCCTTTCTGTCTATACGACAAATGCATCCACCCCTGATCAATGAGGCTGTACTTCAGGTCCCTGCCAAGAATGTAACTGTTGTTAATCTTTTACTACAGTTAAGGAATATTTATGGACAACTATCTGAAGAACACACAATTCATCAATTCCTTTGAAGTTTAGAGTTTATCCCTGGATCAAACCGTCCCCTCCTCTCTCCAACCCACCAGCAGTTCTGTGCATTCCATCTCCAAATCCATGTGAGGCCTGTTGATCTCCATCTCAATGTCTCATTACAGCTGAGTCAGCACATCACTCACAGAGACTTGTCTTCCTCTTTGTATTGTACTTGGGGTTGGTAAGTAAGCTACGCTGATGGGTGGACTTGCACATTAAAAATGGCTGTTACCATTTTTAAAGGCTGGTAAATAGAAATTTCAAAATAAGCAACACTGTGTGACTCCTAAAGTTCAAAATATTTACTAGACGTCTTATAGAGAAAATGTCTGAGGGCCCTATGACCCATTCTCTTTTAGAAGTTGGAGGAACCCATTTACAATACAGACCGTACTGGGCTGTTTTCCTGCTCTAATAGCTTCCTTTGAACATAGACAATACCCAAACTCTACCAAGGCCTACAGGTCCATAATAATGTGGGTTTTGCAGATCTCCAAACTCATTCCTTGTTATTTTGTCTTTTCACTACTTATTCTCAGTACACCCTGGCTTCTGGTAGATTCCTTGAACACATTGAGCCTAGAAGGGTTGGAAGCTCATATCGCTTCTACCTGGACCACTCACTCATCCATGGACCACCCTATCTACATCACAATCCCTCCGTGATAAAGAGATAGGATTACAATATCTACCTCATAGGGCTGATACATACACAACAAAAGACTCAGGACAGTACCTGACATTCAGGAACTATTTGGATAATTCAGTGTTTATCAATAATTATTCCCAGGTACTATTTTAATTAATATTTTAATATGTATTTGAGAGGTGGGGAGAAGGAGAGAAGAGAGTAAAAGACAGCCTGCTTCCCCATTCATTGGTTTACCCCCAAAAATGATTTCAATGGATGGGGCTGAGCCAGGCCAAAGTCAGAAGTCTGGAATTCAATCTAGATCTTTTCATGGCTAGATCTTCTACATGACCAACTACTTGAGTCATCACCTGTCGCCTTACATTAACTGCAAGCTGAAGTTGGAGTAGAGCCAGAACCTCAACCCAGGGACTCCAATATGGAATGTGGGCATCCCAACGTGCATCTCAACTACTAGACCAAATGGCTGCCCTCCAGGTACGCTTTTAATTTCTGACTTTCAGAATAATAGCATGTCCATTTCCCTGCGTCACAGGTTATATAGCCTGTGAAGATAGACCTTGATCTCTGTTATTCCCTATTTCAGCTGCTTACATAGTGCTTGGGATACAGAGACAGAAGAAAGAAAAGGAGGGAGGATACTACCTACTTGAGCTATAACGTTCTGATTCCCTGAAAACTTTACTCCCTGGATGCATGCTGCTGGTACACGTATCTCCCACAGTGGGTTGCCAAAAGAAACAGCCTATGAAGCCTACTGCTACAGTTGTTAGAGGAATAGTAGGGCGTCATTTAGTACATGTCTCGTGAGCTCATCTAAAAAATTCTTTTGAGGGAAATTCTAAATTTGCTTCCTTCAAATTGCTGATGTTTCTGTTCTCTGAGGGAGAGCTATACACTTTATAGGTTTAACTGGGTCTAGGTTCTGTGTCTTCCATCCTGAATATTTTGCAAATCTCTACTATTTTATTGTGTGTTATTTCCTTAAAAACAACACCAAATTCATTGTTGAATGAGAATCTAATTTTAAAAAAACAGCAACCTTGAGTAAATTACTAAACTTGAACACAATCTCCTTGGTTGTAAAATGGGGTTCCCACTGCTTATCTACTATGGATAGAGTTTGGATTAAATACGACAGACAAAAAGCTCAGAGAATAGTGTCTTGCACACAACAGCTACTAATAAATACTAGTTACTCTTTGAGTCAGTTTGGGATTCTCTAAGCAGGCAGGTAAACAGTATTTAATACAGATCAAGATCCTAAGTGACCCACAATAAATTCACAGTCAGCTGGACTGTTCACATATTAGATCATTAAAAAAAATCTACATTCACCTGACAACATCATTACCTATTTGGACTTCTTTTCAACATTTATTAAAAAAGCAAAATGTATGTTCATCTCAAATATAACAGTTAAAAATGGTAAAGCAATACAAACAACTTGTTACTAGCAGCATCCAGTTGTTAGAATCTCCCCACCCTGCTTCTCAGTCTCCAGGCAGACAGCCTTTCTGAGCTTGCCACTACCTACCTCCCTCATCATAGTGCAGGTACAACCAAATTTTATAAAATTAACAATTTAAGGTTAAATAAGCTTAAATAAGGGTGTTAAATACAAGACACTTCATCAAAGCTTCTGTACAAAGATAAACAAATCTGGCATTGTACAAGTGATTTTGCTGGCTCACAGCATACAGGGGAGTTGCGATGAGTCAGCAGTTTTACTCTCTCTCCTTTTTTTTTTCAGCAGAGCAACTATACAAAAGTGAACTAAGAGTTGAAGTGACTACTGACAACTCGGTGAGCCATTGACAAGGCATATGTATCTTTTTCTTTTAAAAAAATCAGAACACTGTTAATATTCAGGCACCATTTTTTTCCTGCAAATAAATAAGTCTCTAAAGTAACTGCATTCGAACTAGTGTTAACCACATCAGTGCTTTTTTATTTCCTCTGACAAAGCTTCTCCAACTATTTACTATGCCTCCTTTCTTATTGCTATGATAATGTGGCTGTGGAAATAAAACTACTGTACATCCAAAAAAATAGAGCACCTTTAACATTAAAGTATATGTCTGATTATTTGTTTTCATGTATATTTTACAATACTAAAGCCCAAACTATGGTAAATTGCTTTAACATCTCTACCAGGTCACCTGATATATAGGAAATCCAACGCAATTCTCTTTCTTCTTGAGGTAAGCCCAAGCCAGAGCACCATTTAGTAGAGTCTGAAAGAGAAAGGTCTCAACTGCCACCAGAATGTACATTCATCTTCACACCGGGAGTTACATTCACCGGCACATCAGCGCTGCTCTCTGCTGTGGCTACCGAGAAAGAGACGCGGCTCCCTATCCTGCTGGGGTGAATGGTGCTACAGAGAATGGGAGAGCAAGAACATCTACAGTTGGTTAAAAGCATACTGAAATAAACACACGTTTGCAACTTGGAAGGGACAACAGGTGTTCCCCTATGGTCCCTCGGTGCGGTGCACACTGGTTAGGATTTCTTGTCAATGGTGTTGAAAAACCATTCTGTGAATTTCCGCAGCTGAGCTGTGGCAGTCTGGGACTCCTCCTGCAGCCTCATGTTGTCTTGTCGCAGGTGCTGCACTTCTGCTTGCAGAACTGCCTTGTCCTGTTTTTCCTGGGAGGAGCAGAAACAAACCAAGTCATGGATACTGACTGGTACATTCACTCCTAAGCTGGTGCCCAGGAATCCCTTACTTTCACTGTTCTCATTTACTCATTACTGGGAGAGGGGTGTGCTTTCTTTAGTGAAGTGACTCGCCTGCCGCTGATTTCTGCCTACAACAAAGGACAGGAGTGACCCACTCCATATATCGTCTCCTTTTGTTCTGCTCTGCTCCAAAGGCAGGTCAAGACGGCTGTTACATAGGAAGCTAATTATTAGCCAGTTTCTTTTATCCACCATCCCAAAAAGAGAAACTAGAGTAAAGAGGTTAACAAATGCACAGAGATTCCCAAGTGAACTTACTGTACACAACTGGTATCACCACAGTATGTTTATAAGAAAAGCTTTCCTGTTCTACAGTCTTTCCACAGTTTGCTATAGAAAAATATATAAAAATGATCAACATTTTCAGAAGAATGACACCTGGAGTTTCCAGCACACAGGAATGAAAAATACTTAACACAAGTTTCAGTTCCCTAATGCCACAAGAGATGCCTTGTCCCAAATAGAGAGGGAGTCATGGTCAGATTTTATCAATCAGTATTTTTTTAAATGGCATCTGACCTGACAGCTGAATCCACACTGGCCACTGCCTGCCGTGCTATGCGGGGTGCTGAATGGGGTCAGCTGGTGACATGGCCTCTTCAGGAGACATCCATTCTTGCATGTTGGGCCCTGCCCTTAATTTTTCCTAATATTTCTTCCCAGGCCCTCCCCAATACCATCTGCCTCAGCACTGGCCTCACAGCCCCTGTCCCAAGAAGAGGCCTCATTTAGCCAGTTGCTAACTTCCCTGTGTAGACCCACAGTCTACACGAGGTGCTTGCTCTCCACAATCATTCTCCCTACCAGGACCTCTCGTTCCCAGCACGTCAGAACCTTCCTACTGTAGCTCAGCTGTCCACTTGTTCACACTCCTCAGACCTCTCCCTGTGGCCCAGGGAACTCGGATTCTGTCATGATGACCACCTGCCCTCCCAGCCCCGTCTCGGAAATTCCCTTCATCTTCATGCTTTCATGAAGCCTCGCTGTCGTGTGAGGACGCCGTCCCTAGCCGCTCACTACAGAGGCTGGGTGGGCAAACTGCTCCCCTACCTCTGCTCACTGCAGATCACTGCTCCTTGCTAAAATGCCAGCTCCTTTTGGAAGGCATGCCATGGGGTAATTATTCATGTCAACCCTCCTCAGAGAATTCGCTACCATTCCCCCATGATTCATGGGAGATTCTAGATTCACTCTTCTCTCCTCTACCCCAACTCCCACAATCTTTGCTGATGTAGATGTTCTATCCAACACTCTGCCAATCAGTGTCTCTACTACTTTCTCTCAATGATCTTAAAACCCGGCCCTCCCACACCCACAACCACCTTGGGATTGCTGCTGACTTTATCCTCTCCTAAAATGGTTTTAAGCTTCTTCTTCCTAACCACCATCTCCTGTCTTTTAAAAATAATTTCTTTGGGGGCAGCACTGGGGCACAGTGGCGTAAGCTGGCATCCCATACTGGAGCACCAGGTCACATCTCCACTGCTCTGCTTGTGATCCAGTTTCCTGCTCGTATGCCTGGAAAGGGAACAGATGATGGCCCAAGTAATTGCCCCTGACACCCATATGGGAGATCTGGATGGAGTTCCTGGCTCCTGGCTTCAGCCTGGCCCAATCCTTGCTTTTTCTTTTGGGAGTGAATTAGTTCGATAGAAGATCTTTCTTTCTCCCTGTCTTTCAAATCAATCAATCAATCAATCAATAAATAAATAACTTATTTTTCTTCAGTGTCTTCTCCCCCATCAATGACTTAAGCTACAACTTTCCTCTTCACTCCTACCAATGGCCTTCCCCTTGTCCCACACTGACATTATCTTTCCTCAACCAGCTTAGACTCTGGGTCCCATAGTTTATTCACATCTTATATGTACCCCATGTCCTTGACTTTCTCTCCCCTTGCCATAACTTCTTGTCTAAACTCTAGTATTGGTTAAATCCAACTCTACAACTCTTCTATACCCATAGCTGGAGATAAGGTGACCAGCAAGTCAGCTTGCCTGGGACTTGGCTGATCCCAGCACTCAGTTTCCTATACTGGAAAACTTCTTTCCCCAGGCTGCAGAAAATCACCTAACTCTGCCAACACATTTTTAATTCATGCTACAAATTTAAATGTGCCTTTAGTTTTGCTTGGCAAATATATCAAATATACCTGGTCAATTCATTGTCTACTCTGTACCTTCTCTATGTTCAATTTTTTTTATATTGGCCGAGTGTCCTTTACCTGTAATTCTTTGATTATAAATGTTTTGGATTTTGTAGTATCTGCATATGCAAAATGAGACATCTTAGGGACGGAACAAATCCAAGCAAGAAATTCATTTATGTTTCATACACACCTTATACACAGAGCCTGAAGATAATTTTTATACAATATTTTTATTGTGCTTGTGCTTTGTGAATCACATGAGGTCAGGTGTGCAATTTTGCATCTGTGGTGTCATGTCAGTGCCATAATGTACTGGATTTTGAAGCACATGGGATTTTAGATTTGAAGTGCTTTGGATTTTTGGACTTTAGATTAGGGATGCTCACACTGCACTCCTTCGCACCGCACACTCTCAGCTCATAATTGGGAAATAGAGAAACAAGGAGAAGTGGGCCAGCTTATCTGGACTAGGTATGTGTGAATGAACGCATGCGAGTATGTGCACACAAGCACACGCATGACGAACACACAGCCATGAATACACACTCTGCGCTGCGGGTTGTCTCCCCTGCGAGGCAGCTCCCTCCTTGTGCACTACAGCAGAACCTTACTCACTCACTCTTCACCCTCATCACCTCCTTCTCAACTGGCTCTCTTCTCCCAGCATTCATTCCCACTACAATCCCGCCCTTCCTCAAAAGCGGAACCAAACCACCACCACAAAGGCCTTCCTGCCACACTCTCCAGCCACCGCACTGCACCCCACTTCTGCGAACGGCAAAAGGCACCTGAGTGTTGATGGTGCAGCGAGAGCGCAGCGAGCATTTGCAGAGTGAAGGACTGAAGCTCTCAGGACTGACACGCGGGCTGGCGTGCAGAACACTTCCGAGGGTAGGAACTTGCTGGAGCTCTTTGGCAGCAACTAATTGCTCTTAGCTCATACAGTGAGTACGAGTGATGACTCACAGAACTGAGAAATGGTGGCCCGCTGAGCACCTACCTGACATCAGAGATTGGCCATCCACAGGGCTCATCCTTGCTCTGTCACATCTACTGGGATCCTCACATCCTCCCACATGAGATAAACCAACTGCAGGGTAGAAACTGAATTAGACCACAGGAGTCCCCCTTTCTACTGATTACTGGGTCTTGTTTAGGGCAGTTGTCTTTCCTGATCTCTTCATTTATTGTGATAGCTCAAAAAGGAGCGGCTGTGTCAGAGAAAGAGTTCTGGCCGTGCTCTTGTGGGATTACTTTACCTTCCGGAGGTCAGTCTGGAGTTGGCGAAGAATTAATTCCAGCTGATTAACTTTACCAGTCAGTGTTGATGGCGAACGCTCCCTAGCAAACAAGGATATAATTAGAATGACTCAAGAGAGGTGAAATCATAACATTTCACTCAGTTATTTCTACTGGGAAAGTTTTCACACACAAAAAATTATTTCCTGTGCTTAGGACCCAGAAAGGAGATAAATAATACTGTGTCAGATTGGGAAAGTGTCCATATTGCTGCTGCTTTGGTGGAAAACTCCGGACTGTATGTATTTAAAGAGAAATTCAGAATCTATACAGGTTGCTAAGGTGGCAAAAAGATATATTATTTAAATGAGTTTTGCCAATTGGGATAGAGTAGGCCAGAATGAAGTCCTAGGAACTAAACACAGGTTCAGTTTCTCTAATTAGCCTTTCCCTGCCATGAAAATCTCATGTGGCTAAGCACTGAGGTGAGCACACATGTGAATGAATGGTAACTTGTTCATATGGCAGTTGGACTTGGGAAAGCATGTCGGGCACAGACTATGCATTTGGAGGGGAGTGCACACGTCATGAACCCAGGGGAATGAGATGCTGTGTGTCCGACGCACTTCAGTGGAGGGTTTGAGACTCGGTGAAGGATCAGGTTCTGGGAGGAAGCGTGCCTTTGGCAGGTCAGCATGCGTGGCTGATCAGAGAGGTGTTCTTGCCTAGTGCTATCGCGGTAATTAGGCAGCAGATGCTGAGCCTGAGGCCTCATCCGCCCTCTCTGTGCCAGGGAGGCTGGCCGCAGTGAGTCCTGGGTCTCACGTCTTGGCAGTCAGGATCTGCCCGCAGAGCAGAGCAATCAGGCAGCCAAGTTCCCAGCAGGTCAGGAAGCCAAGTGAGTTCTAGTTCGTCCCTTCTCTGGATTCTTCAGGAGTAGGGGAAAGCATGGTGGAAGACTGGCTCCTGTCTTCCTGGTTAATCACTGGTTTGGGACAGCGAGAGGGATGGGGGTTTCCAGGGACTCACATACCCAGTTGTGTCCATGAACTCTTTGCCACTGTCTGGATCTACACACAAGGGTAGCTCCTGGTCCCCTTCCAGTTCCTGCCCATGTTGCATATCTGTCATTGTGCAGAAGGATGCTACCCTCTGGTCTGGGAAAGGGAGAAACACACAGACGTAGGATTAGTAATAGCCACAAGCCAAAGTTTCCTTGTGGAAATGAATTTAGTGGATTGATAAAATAGTTTCCACCCTCCAAATCAGATATTGCCCTGTTTTAAAACAAAAGAAAGAAAGAAAGAAAAAAAAAACAACAGGCAAGCTACTGACAATGAGAAAGCATGAAGGCTGGCTGTCCTACTGGGCTGGACGGCATATGCACATCAGAGCCACGTGGACGACTAGTGGATACTGGATTTGCTATAGCCAATTTGCTTTCTTCTTTCCACATTCCCAAAATGCCAAAGCTGTTGGCTGCGCATGAGATAACAGAGTTGGATGATGACGTAGCTGATTCGCAGAACCAAGGAGATGGCCCTCTCCTTGAGTTCTCCCCAAACCCAGAGAACATTCTCCAGATAGAATAGCCAGGACACATGTTCCCCTGTGCAGCCCCAACCCTCAGAGCAGAAATCACCATGCAGACGTGCAGACACATGACATGTAGAGAAGAGGTTACAGAGTATCAAGAGCCACTGATGCTCCAAACAATCACCTAGATAAGACGTGTGGTGACAGAGCAGCCCAAGTTCTTCATCTGAGTCAAGACCTGAAATAAGATGTAGAATTTTCCTATGAACAGGAACACCTCTGTGTACTTGAGAACTTCTGGGGCCCACAAAAGGCTCAAGTAATGGGATCATGTGAAGTTGTGTGTGTGTGTGTGAGAGAGAGAGAGAGAGAGAGAGAGAGAGAGAGGAATCAGGAGAAGCCCTCTGGAGTCAACATTATGCAATGCCAAACAATGTGGTGAGAGTACACATTTCGTGTTTTAACTATCCTTCTTGAAAGCATAGTGTGGTATGCCACATATACACACATACACACATACAGATCCTACCTTAAGCATACACAATTTTGGTTTTTACTTACATGACTCACTCCATGAATGTAAAAAAAAAAAAAAAAAAAGGTGGTGGTGAGAGAGATTAGCTATGTAATCTGCCTAGAAATCCTTAGAGGAAAATCAGTGCCTTATCCAAGCACAAGGCCATTTTTATTCTTGACACTAGGGACTTAGTGTTCCATTGTTGACAGCTAGACAGGAAAGGGAACAGTATAGTCCTCAGGATGGGCACCAGATTGGCCCAGCTCTCAGGGCTGAACACTAGCCCAGAGTACTGGTCCAGAGATGCTGAATGGTGTGCAAAAAAAGTCTCATTTTTGAACCATACGGAAGAGAGTACCAGGAATCTATTCAATGATCTACTCCTCTCCCCACCAATATTTCCTGGTTTCTGAGCATACACGCAAATCTGTAGTGCAATCTAAGGGATACAGCAGGAGTGTTCCTGCTGCCACAGTCTTTCTCATACAATTTGATTAATGGCACAGAAATTGCACTTGGGTCCATGTCAGGCATGCTCTGTTCTTAATTTATCCCACTCTGTCTCCCTCTGGCTGCTTGTGGAGCCTCCTAATGAGGCTACCTGCTTGTTTGGTTTATGGAGGGTCAGGCACTTCCAGTTAATTAAAAAGGATGGCAATGCTGAAGCTGCCAGGCGCTCACGAAGGCAGGCCGGGGCTGTGGGCAGAGTGCCGAGGGCGTCGTCTGCACTCCGACAGAAGCTAGGCCCTCCTGGAGTCAGGCGGAGCTCACCCAGCAACTGACTGCTCAGGGAGTTCTTCAGCCATGTGCCCCCTTTCCTAACACCTGTCCCAGGCACACAGATATCCTTCAACCAAGCTTTTGGCAAAACTGCACACCTCAAATCTTCTACAATGTGATATACGTTCTATTACCATCCATTCCCAAGGGACAGTCACATTATCCCTTTGGTATGAAACAGTAGGGTTTTTGCTTATGTTAAAATCATCTTTAAGATTAACAGCATGATTTGGGCATTATCCACTTCTATGCAGGATCTGATGTTCATGGCAATGGTGGGAAATGTGGGGAATACTGATGAGGAGTGAACAGCTCCAGGGGGCCTCAAACGGGAGCACATCACACTTAAAAAATCAACAGAGGATTATTTCTATCCTGCAGTGAATTTAACTACTTACAAAAGGGAACATCAAAGAAAATGGATAAAGAATTTCTACCTTTCTTAACATATTTGGGACTGGTGGTCGAGTCCAAATACCTGGATGAAAATGCCTTAGTTTGCTTCATCTATTTTTGTCTTAATTGACAAAATACACACATAGTTGACAGAAACAGAACTCGCTCTTGGCAGTCACTCAGGCATTCCTTGGGGAGGAACAAGGTCTCACTGGTCACGAGGCAAGAAGCCAAAAACAGTCTTGCCAGCAATATAGTTTCACAAAGAGGATTTCACTTTGGATCTGAAAAGCTTGGAAAGCTGAAATGCAAACAGAATGGTACCCTGGCTAAGTACAGCCACTGAACTACGCTATAAAACAGCGAATCTTAGCTGTAGCTTCCATGGGAGCTTCCCGCTTCCACAACACATCTCTAAGATGACACATATCAGGTCAGCAAGTGACGACGGACACTGAACCTAATGGCACAAACAAAACCATACAAAAAGACAGGCACCAGAGCAGGAACTCTGGGCGCACAGTTAGCACACAGCCATCTTACTCGAGCACAGCCTGTATAGTCTGTTCCTTCCCACTCTTTCCTATGCAAGCAGATCCCTGGGAATGGGACACGGCACGGAGTGCAGCTTATATGCAGAACAATCCGCCCCTTTAAATAATCTCAAAGAAATTATTTCAAGGTCAGCTTCTTACTTTAGCTTACTTATCACTAAACCAGATGAAGAACAGGTAGCAGGCTGGTCAGTATCACTCTGCAGCTAGTTAAGATGGCAAAACTGCAAATAACTTCCACGAATCCATCCAGGCTGCCTGTGGCACCAAAACTTAGGCCACATCTGGCTCACAGGCAGAGCAGTCAGATCAACTACTGATGGCTGCCAAAGGTGAACAGTAGGGCAACAGTGCAGACACCAGGTACTTGCTGTATGGGACAGACAAGTATGAGGCTCGAGTAAACGAAACCTACATCCACAAACAAAGCTGTTCCAACGCGTCTGGCAGAACCATAGAGTCACAACAAGCTGAGACGCCGGGGCTACACACAGGACGTGAAAGGTAGGGCTTCTGACACCTGTGTTTATTGGCTCGTTAGGAAGCTGACTTCGCTGACTACCAGGAAAGAAAGAACAAGGTTACACTTCACTTTCAATAAAAAAATACTTCAGTCCTCGGGCAGCCCACTGCTGGGCAGAGAAAGGTAACGGCCTAGAATCTTCCTCAGTTGTGAAAGGGAAAGCCTGGAAAGCATTCTTTCCTCAGGACAGAACTATTGTGTTGGCTTGACACAATTTAAATGGACGTTTGAGATAATTTAGGCTACTTTCACTTTTTCATCTATGCACCAGTCATTTTTCTTTTCTATTTTTTTCTAATTATGTTAGTACTAGGAGTTACTGGGTATGTAACATGTTGTTTATGCTTATATATACACACAGTGGTCAAATATCAGTAACTATAACTATTTTAAGCTGAAAGTTCAGAACTGAAAAAGTTCTAATTACAAAATTTTTTTCTCATTATCCTAAGATATTAGTATACATTGAATGTAGTAAAAGCACAGACTTCTGGAAAACAGCTCCTGTGGAACATTTCACACCTAGAGTGGTCCAGCCTGGTGTATGAGTTGTTCACTCTGCTCGTGTCTTAAGTACAGATACTCATTCATGGATATACACACACCAAAACGGCTATGGGTAGACAACAGTGCTCACCAAGAATGGAGGAGCAGGGAGACCTAGAGAAAGACAGGCCTGGGCGGGACAAGGGCACAGGCTCCATCTCTGATCATCAGCTGGCCATTTTACCTTTTAAGCCTGTTTGCTCTTAAACATTACTATCCGCTTAACAAATGCTTGAGAACACACTGATTCATCCTTCTGAAATTCTGATACAGGAGAGTTGTTTTAAATTCCAGGCCTTTTAAAGAGACTACTTCCCTACTTTACTGCCTCAAGGCATTTTTTGTTGCTGGGTTTGTTCCCTTGAACAAGCATGGCGGTTGGGGGGGAATGGATGCCCCTCCAATTATGACAGGGATAGAGCCCACTTGGGAATACTGAAAACGCACTGAATATGCATGCCACAGCCACACTGTAAAGCATCAGCCCAGCCCTGTCACTTCCTGTCCTGCCCGGCACCACAAGAGCACTGTGTTACAGATCCTGGCCTGGGAAAATTATAAAACTTAAAGTCAGAAGAGCATTTTCTGCATCAGTAAAGTCAAAAAGGAAAAAAAAAAAATCTATGTCAAAGCAAGGCCAGGAGAGTGATATATACGCTTTTGTATGTGACAAAGGACAAGCGAAGTCCTGCTCAGGTGGCTAAACGACGATGTTCAGTGATATTACTCAGGACTTCTAATGGCAGAGGGCACATCTCCTCCTCACCAAGCAAAGGCACTGCACATGATGAAAGTCTGGGACTCAGACAATTTTTGAAAGTTGAGAATCACAGCATGGCAGGAGTCAGGGGTCTTGGGATGACAGCTTGGGAAGACAGCATCCAAATTATCTTCTGCCTTCCAGACACACTTCTCCATTTACAAAAAATTACAAATTTTAGTTTTTTGGGGGCAGAATTTGGTAATCTACTCATTTATTACATTTTAATAATGCTGCGCAGTATTTATTGGAAGCTTCCTTATTCTTTTGGGTAATTTCCTACTGGTGGTCTCAGGAATTAGATTTCTAGTCAAAGGGGGGGTCCTGGCTTTAGCTACATATTGTCACACTGCCTGAACACAAAGATGGATCACTTTGTAATCTTTATAATGATACCAGCTGTGAGCATTCCTCATCGCTTCCCCGAGCTGTTGCATCATTTTTCATATTCAAAAGGTGTGAGCTGGTGGCTCATTAGTGTTTAAATTTACACGTGTGGTTGAACAGTTTCCACGTATTTATTGTGTGCTGCTTCTTTTGTGGACTGCTGCTCTATGTCTTTTGTTTATTATTGGTTTAGGTTTTCTGCTGGTAAACCCCTTTATCTACTTCAGGTATCCTGGTCTTATCTACCACATTTGTTGTAAATCTTTCCCCATAGTCCAATAATTCTTATTTTAATGCTCTCTTTCAGACTCATAAATGGTCTACATATTAAAATAATTTTATCTGGCCTTATTACATTCTGTAAATTCTTGTATTACTCAATAATGAAAGCATTATCTTGCTTCCAAATTGGTAATCTTTTACTTTTTCTAAAATTGACTTTTCTTGTTCCCAAATTCAGAGTGTATAAATTGTTTTCCTCTTACATAACTTCTTAAATATATTCAGATTTCTGTATGGGTTTTAATTTTTCTTCAAAGGGGTCTGTTTCTATTTTTGAATATTTATTATGCTGTTTTAATTATTATTATTGATTTATAATAGTCTTTGTTAAACATTCTTCATCTATTTTCCAAATGGATTCAATTAAATTCCTTAGCATATACTTTAAATATCTGAGTTGAAACTGCACTAGTGTACAAGTTAATTCAGGAAGAATTGTCTCTTTTACTATAAAGCTTTCCATCCATTCCTATTCTTGTTAATATTAAGATTT